CCCCAAAACCCCAAAACCCCAAAACCCCAGGGGATTATATTTTATATGATTTATTGTATTCAATGTAAATATTTCTAAAAATTTAAATATCACGGTTTCTAAACAAAACTTTTTAAATCAATTAATCCAATTCAGGACCTAGTAAACTTCTAAGTCCAGAACTTTGAAATTAATTTTGCTTTTCAAGTCATTTTTGGCTTGAGATCCAGTATAATCGCATTCATTGTAGTCTTAATAAGTCCATCCTAACCATAAAGTATTATCAACTTCATTACATTTGTCATTAATCGAAATGTCGTATTCCCCTTAATTCCAGCTCTTTTGAGGATCGTTTCTAATTGCTGAGTTCAAATGATTTTTCTAGATATGAATTGATTGATTAGTTAAGGAAAAGATAAAAGCTTAGTCGTCTTTTTCCTTAAAAGCATAATTTCCCCAACTTTTTGTGACAAATCCTCCAAATACATTTCCAGTTTCACTCAATATGAAGCAAACAGTTAGCCCTTTATTATCGCATCTAGAGTGAAAATCGGTTGCTTTAAATCCATCTCTGGTCCCCACATAAATTTAATTAAAGCTCAATTTAGTCTTTGGATTATCAAACTGTTTCCTAAAAATGAAAGATGTCTCCTTATTCATCTATAAATTTACTAGTTATCTGAATTCATCAAAAAGGCCTTGCTGTTCTCTTTATTATTGATCCAATAATATTAAATCCGTCATTTCTTCTAGAGTATCTGCTTTTAGAATATTAGATAAAAGCAGGTGAAATTTTTCTCTTTAACTTTTTAATTAAGATGCTTCTTTGACCTATTCCTTCTATTGCTCTATTATTTTCCCAGTTTATTTTTCTTCTTCCTTTTATATTCATTTTTTCACAACTCCAGCTTATTTATCTGATTAAGATACATTATTAGATTCAATTTTTTGACTTATTTATTATTTTTAATGAGGTTAAATTTCTATTTATTCTTTTTTATTATTCAGCTTGGCATTTTAATCTTAAGGATTATAAATGAAACTATGAAATCAAAGTTAGATGAATTAAAAATATATTACATTTATCCAGTAAGATAGCTCTCAAGATCACAACTTTATGCAATTAAACTTATGTCTCAATTATCATTCTATTAGTTTGCCAGTATCTTTTCTCTAGCAGATTAAACTAGATCTTGAAATTCTCTAGCTAACACTAATTTTTTTCCTTTATAAATTTCATTTAAGCCATCAAGGGTCTTTTGAGTTCTATTAATTATATCTTACAATTAAGGTATTATTTAAATAAAGTAATCATCTAATCTTGAAGTTGTCACCTTTATATGATTGCTTGGTTAATTTCTACACTATTTGCAACTTTAAGTGCAATCTTTGCAGATAAAATTATTAGTTTAAATACAGTACTAATCAACTAAATTATCTTAGTGGTTGTTGCATTTTATGTTGATAAAGTCTATATTTTTTAAATATTCAAGCACATCGTAGTCAACTCTAAATTGTTAGCCTTTTGTAAATTTATGTTCCTGATTTCTTGGACAAGTTAGATCATTAGCATTTTTTGAATTTTTCTTCATATCCAAACATTATTTGCATATTTTATGACCACAAGGCAGACTCATTGGCTATCTAATGGTTTAGTTAAATATCAGATTGCATCCTTTGCAGTATAGAAAATCCATTAGGCTTATTGTTTAATAAGAAATTATAGACCTTTTATAATATTCAAATTTTTAACTTTTAATTATTTGAATTTAACGATTTAATCAAGGTGGGGTTTTGGGGTTTTGGGG